TCAGGAACGTAACCAATCATCCCTGTTGAGAACTTTAAAAGATCTAGTGTGAAGCCTCAGAGAAAATGGGGAAGTCAGAGTTTTTTCCGGGCTTGAGAATCCTTAGATTCTGTTCTCCTTGTTTCCGGTGACACCCAAGCCCATTTCTTGTTGGTGACAGATGTGAATGTGCCCTGAGCCTGTAAGATAAGAAAGGCAAGGAGGTCAAACATGAAGACAGTGGAGGCATTGGAAAAAACATAGATATGGCTGCAATTCATTGTTCACCTGAGTTCTGATGGAGCAATACGGCCCCTGCTCACTAATCCAAGGACTGAACTGAAATCCAATTTATCTAGATCTTTGTTTTCCCTCTTCCCTTCACCCCCATTTTTTATCTTTCTTTGATTAACAGTCAACTCATGGGAAACAGAAGAAACAAAGGAAAATCAAGTCCTTCCCAATCCTGATGATCAGTAGCTTGAGCCTTTTCCTTATTGGACTTTCCTCAAAACGTTTGGTAATGTATATTGAAATTCCAAGAATCCTAACATGTATCTGGTTTATCCTTTTCCACATGGTCATGGAAATTTGAACACAGAATACCTGGCAATTCATTTATTACATGGACCAACAGAAAATAAGATGGAACAAGTGATGGCACCTTTGAAAACTAAAATATTAGTTTTAGGACTCTTTGCTAAGAATCTGTTCTCTGTTTTTAATGTGTGCCCATCAGTGGGCATGTGCTCTTTTCAGCCAATAAAAAAGAAAAAAAGCATTATTGGAATAGAGAAGTTGGGGAATGCAGAGTAAGTATCATCCATCCCTTTTCTATTTTGGTAGAATAACTCCCTAACCTATCCTAAATAAATAGACTTCTCCACTGCACTAAAAGTTCTTTAAGCAATAAGATTTTACAAACTCTCTTGGTTACCCATTCCCGGTCATTGCCAAAGTTCACCATAAATGCTCTCTGACACTGCTGATAGGAGGATAAGTCAATAAAACCTCTCAGAAAAACAATTTGGAAAAAGAAAATGTATTAAGAATCTTAAGGATGTCATCCTCTTTGACTCTGTAACTTCACTTCTATAGCTGTAGCCTAAGAAAATTCAAACAATACTGAATAAATATGTATATTTTGTATGCATTTTTGCATAAAAGCAAATAATTAGAAATGTACTAAATATAGGATGTTGGTTAATTTAAGTTTATGTAAATCCAAATAACAGAGTATTATGCAGATCCTATAGTGCAGGATATAATGCAGAAATTATATATATGTGTATATAAAATGCAGAGATAGATAAATATAAATAGATCAATCATATAGACACAATGTTAAATGTTAAAATGATGCCTTTTCTGGCTCATTTTTGGCTGACGCCCTAAAAAACAGAGAACAGAATAAGAGGGAGCAAGTATTCCCACATACCAAAGACAGCAGGCAGCCCTGGAAGGGAGCAGTTAACATTCCCCAAAGGAAGTTTTCAACTAGTAGGAGATGAAAGTGAATGGATAAATGCCCCAGCCTCCCTGTATGGTGGGGGGAGACATTTCTAAGGTTCATTTCACGTAGTTTTTCCCTCAGTTGCCCAGGACAGTAATCAGTTCAGTAACAAACTCTATATTCCCCCTTCCCAGGTCCACTCACCCTATTCCCCCATTCCTGCTTCCTAGAATATACTTCATAATATAAAACCTGCACTCAGGTCCTTATCTCAGGCTCTACTGGAGGGCGACTAAAGTTAAGTCACTCCCAAAATGTAATACTTTCTTGAGCACAGGTTTTTAGGTGTCAAAACTCAGGAAGGGAGCTATCTTCAAAGAGCTTTTGTTTCGTCCCCCAGCCAAAGTAAGGAAACAAAAGGAAAATGTGGCTGGCTGATTCAGGCAAGGGAGAGGAAACGCTAAGAGGATACACACGGACCAATAATTCAATGAACTATCTGTCACAACATCATCATCAGTGCTGCCATTATTACTGTCAAACGCCAAAGATGCAGAAGTCAGAGTCCCCGCCGGGCAGGCATTCAGGACCCTGGAAAAGACTTCTGAGGCTAGGACCTATTTCAGGCATTTCCTCTGCCTAACACAATTAACTGGCTGCTCCAGCTGTTTGCAAGGAGACTGTGTTTTAGAGACCACAGAGTTATACCCACCAAAATGTAGTGCTGAGTGTCAGGGATAGGAGGACTCTGCTTTGTTATGAGTCTCTCATTCCCAATATGGAACCCAAGGCACATCTAGACAGACATCTGGCTCTCTTCTCCTTTTTCTTCATGGATTTCAAACTGTACTTTAGGAACAAGTAGGGATTCTGAGGCCAGGAATGAAGTGGCCCTAATAATGTGTGGTCCCTGGGATCTGAATAGGAAAAGGAGAGCAAGCTGTCCTGATTCAATCCCAGATTCTTATCCTTGGCTCCCCTGTTTACAACACCAAACTGGCCCCTGGACTATTTGATAAATGTGGGCAAGAGAGAAGTGGAACCAACAGGGTCAGTAGTGGTAAATTCCAAAGGTTTAGGATAGAGGTTACAAAGTCAATGTCTTCAGGGCTCAGGCCAGTAATATTAATATAAGTGAAACAAGCAGAGGTTTGCAGAGATAATGGTAAAGAGCGCATGCCCCCTCTAAAAAGTACTTCTGAACTCTAGTCAACTGGGATGCAGTGTTACTAGACAAATTTTAAGAGCAACAAAGAAGTCAAAAATCCAGATTGTATATGAAAGTTGACTTCAGTGGTGGCAACCAGTTCAAATGTTTTTTGCTCACCCCATGTTGGCCTACATGGTCAAAACACATCTGCAGGATTATAGTTGGCTCCTAAGCCATCAGGTGGATGTACATCATGGGAGTAAGATAATCTACTGTAGTTGGAGAATGTATTTAAAAAGACATCAGATGGCATAGTAACAGACAACTTTAAAATTTTAAAATTTTGAAAAAACAGAAAGAATGGAGAAAGACTTTAGGAACTGAGTTACAGACAGGCAAAAGGGACTGCATCCAAATTCATAAACTTACGAACTTCAATTTCGGGCCAGTTTCAACATCTGCTATTATGAGGTATAAGGATAATGGTGACTTTATGTAGCATTATGACCCTGTTGCTTCACACAATGTCCTGACCCTGGGAATAGCTAGTTGGCTTTCTTCTTCCTGTCACAGGCTTACCTAACTGAGGAACATCTGGTTTAGGACTAGGAGGTTCTGTGCCCTAGCCCCACTCCCCTACTGCTACCGCCAACCCCCAAAATTACCTCTTTTACAAGAAGCCTGAGACTACCACCAAGACAAGTAGAAAGATGGCCCATTGCATGATGACATCCAGAAAGAAGTGAAGGCCCATGAATAGGATAACTATCACAAAGTGTTTAGAAAAGGAAAAGTAAGGTTGACACTTAGACAAGACCCAAAGAAAGAAGTTCTTGGCCCAGGCAGAGCCTGGATGAGGCCCCGGGGGGCTTTAGTCCAGGGGACTGTGAGAGTAGAAAGAACACTCCATTACCTCTGCCTTTCAGTGATTTTTCAAGTTAGCCATTCAGTGTGTTTATTCAGTGTGCTTCAGTTGTAGAATTGAGATCATTGTTACAAGATAAGCGAAATAATAGCACAAGCTCCAGATAAAGTCTTGTTGGAACGTGGCCATATGACCACTCACTTACTGTGGCTGCTTTTGCCTACAAAGACTACAACGCGTACTATCCGGCCTTTTACTTCCAAGGTCCCCCCTCAAGTAGCCCTATTACCTGACATAACTCACAAAAGTGGCTCTAGGTGTAACTTGGGTCATGATTTTTTACTTCATACAGGACTTTCATCAATAAATATTTAATGCCTTAGACACTAAGATTCAAAGATCTCGTGCTTAATTTCAGTCTTGGGGCACCTGGTAGGCAGGTCTCCCCGCGCTGCTACCTTGACTCTAGACTATAAGCTCTTCAGTAACACATGCATGTGGACAAGGCCAGGTTTTATGTAAATCTGGCAAAAATGGTGAATCTGGCACCAGGATGAATCAGGAAAGCCTACTGACCTCCTTTGCTTTTGCCTTCTCTCCAAGACTACACCAGTGTATGCCAAACATGTGACTACTGCACATTATTACAAGATAAAGTAAAGCATTACGACAGGGTACCACCACAAGACAGAGCTATGGCATATTACTACAGAGCACCACTGTAAAATATACTTAGTTATATTACTGTGGGGTACCACTGCAGGGTATACTTCTATCTAATGTTATAACATGTTACCACATGTCATATCTAGTGATATAACATTATTTCAGGTTGCAAAGAAGATAGGAGAATTGGGTTTTGAGGACTCAAGCTTATAAATCAACTTGGTCTGGCTGGCATATGATTTTTAAAGATTGCAGAACTTTTTCAATTTAAGGGTACTGTGTTGAGGGTAGGAGATGATGTGGTACCTTTATAGGAATTATACAAGGTTTTCCACACAACTTATCAGAATTATTTGACCCCAAGGTTCCCAAGACTGCATTGTATCTAGAGTACACTATGAGAAGAAGCTTGAAGATGTCGTCCTTTAAAAAGTTCTAAATACACATATGCCATTCTAGACCCTTCCTCATGTTTACAATTCCTGGGCTCCATGTTGATGTGACCTGAACTTGTTTTTAGAAAAAATGGGCATCTTCCTTACTAATTACCAACAAAGGAAGCTAGAAGTATAAGCTGATGATCTGTTTATGGGTTTTCTGGTGGTTGTACCCCAGCCCAGCCAGCTTAAAAGGTCTATCATTCTATCAAACCACGTTAAGTTCTTTTCATATCCAGAAAGCATCTCAACCTATCCCAAGCCAAAACCCAACCATACATTTCATTAGCAAGCCTCTTAAACAGGAGCTCCATATTTCCCTCTGACTCACTTGATTATCCCTTTACCTATTATACCCCATTTCTCCTGTTAACATGAAAAAAGGCGGGGGTACTCCAGGTTACCACAGGCCACTCTTCAGCTAAACAAAAACACACAAAACACATTCATCAGTGAAAGGAGAGAGATTTTACTTAGAGACCCTGGGGCAGAGATGTAAAATCAAAGATGATCATGGTGGTCTTAGGCCTGGACCAAAAGAGGCTTTTCTTTTTGCTGGCCATGGGAGAAAACATGACATGGAAAAACATGATGTCAAGCAGTGTCTTCAACCAGAGCATTGGCTTATGCTGCCGACTAAGGAAACAAGAATGAAAAAACATAAGATTTACACTCAGGAAACCCATGTATTTTTTTTATATAGGGAACTTCTAAGCTCAATTTCTCAGATTTCATGAGACATAAGGCCAAAGGGTTTGAGAAACCCACCTAAAAAAAGTAGGTCCAGGGGTTATGTCAACCTCTCTACTGAATGGAAAGATTCGAGGGAGGCTCTAGCATAAAAAAGGCAAGTAAGGAATGCAGAAAGTCTGGTTTTTTGCAGGACTAGTGGGAGAGTGGGGGAGAGCTGGGGTTTTGCAGGAAGCTGGGAGGCCAAGAAAGAGTTGGAGACAGTCTCTGGAAGGCAAATGGAGAGCTTTGCTCTGACAAAGGCATGACATTTTGGAACACCTGCAAGCTAGGATGACAGTTCCTCACGTTTGAGAGTCCCCTTATGTAATCAGAAAATGTCATCAATACCTTGTCTTCCTGTTCTTTTTCTGGCATAACTTCTTTGATTTTTTTCTCTGTAGTAAATCCGTCAGATGGCATACTGAACACTTACATCTATAGTAATTCACCATCTTCTTACATTTCCCAATTCTGGCCAGCAGCAGAGATCTTGTTGCCACGACAGCCTCTGTCTGCTCCCCCCTTTCCCCACCCCAGGTCCATTCATCCAAAGCAGCATCCTCATCACTCCCTTTATATACAGAGACAAGTGGCCATGACATGGGAGCTCCTGGTAAAAGGACCTGATGATTGGTGATGCCTTGTCACAATGGCTGAAATTCAACAGAAGAACTTGGTTGGGTGGTTGGGGAGTACTGAGACATTTGGACAAAATCAAGAAAGTACCTATTAGGACTGCTAGAATCAGCTGGCTGCCCATCAATATAGCCCATACAAACCACCCTGGAGGATACAAACCAAGTAAAATTGTCCTGGCCTTTCAGACCCAGTATCTTCAAAGCCTTTATTGGCTGGCACATTTAGGTATGCATTCCTGGTCCCATCATCTTATTTCTAGAAAGAGCTTTTTTAACAAGGATTTGAACAATATGGACATTTTTAAATGAATGTATTGAGGTATAATTGACATGCAATAAACTGCACATGTACAATTTGATAAGTTTTGACATAGGTATACACCCATAAATACATCTACACAAATCGAGATAATAAGCATATCCTCCAGTCCCAAAAGTTTCCCTGTGACCCTTTGTAATCTCTCCCTCCTGCCCCTCCCCAGCCCCAACAATGTGGAGTTCAAAGCTCTAGTCCAACATATCTTGGTAATCTACTACCTCTGCCCTATCCCCCAGAGCCTCACAGAGATACAGCTTCAACCTCAAAAAGATCAATGTCTGGGAAGAGAAGATATGTATACAAAAAATTCTGGACAGAATCTGGTAAATGATGTAAAATGTACCCAAAAGGTGAAGACTTCATTAAAGAAATAATTATACAATTTGGGACCTTGCTTTGAGTTTTGAAGGACGTATAAGAATTTAATAAGTAAAGATGCTAAAATATAACAGTTCAACTAAGACACTGAATTTCCCATGAACACCTGTACATTTCTAGATTTCAAATAACCCAACTTAGCTGGAACAGCAGAGGTTCCCTGAGGGTGAGAACAGAAGACATGGCTAGAAAGCAAGTTTGAGGTTGAGAGGGCAGATATGAAACGTCGTAGGGCAGTAAAGAGTTTCCCAAGCGTTTTGAACAAGAGTGACATGATTAGTCTTGCTTTAGGAAGTTTATTTGGGCAACAGTTGACATGAAAACAGAGATTCAAGTAGCTTCAGTAATTATATAATCCACAAGTAACAAGGATTGGTCAAGGGCTGCCACCCCAGCACATGAAAATGTCAGCATCATGAAGGAAGACTCAACATGGACAATAAAGGAGAGGGAAGAGTGCAGGAACACACTTGGATGGTTGTTGGGTGGTGCCAGAAGGCAAAGACTGGCTGGGAGGCCCCAAGACATAAGTCATCTCCTCTTTTCCTTTAAAGCCTGGTTTCAAGCACACTTCCTGAACCATGGTTCACCCTCTCCAAGAGGATCCATCTCATGTGGGGGCAAGGGAGGTGATAATCCAAGCACCTCTCACAGTCCCTCTAATTTCCTACCTCTTGAACACTCTAGGAGGCAAGGAATTCTACAGTACTCTTGTTCTTCTTTTAATGTAAGACCTAAGGTTTTAATCTCAGGGAATGTAACAAAGTTTGGAAAGAGAGAAAGAGAGAAGAAAGAAAGGGACATAGAGTTATATTTTAACAACCTATGTACACATTTGTGAAGTTGAGTTTAATTTATTCTGTGTCCTCTTTCATCAAAAGTTACTAACAATCCAGTTGTTTCCACACCCATAGGATTCAGATTTTTGAACTAAAAGGATTGGAGTCAATGATAATGATATTATGTCCTAGAGATGGTTTGATAGAACAACTGATTTATTCATCCAAATTTGTATTGAGGATCTGCGGTTGCCTCTGGGTTTGTTTGTTTCTGTGCTTTTTCCTATGAATTCATGGTGGCATGGGTCAGAGTGAGGAATGGGCAGAAAGGAAGTAATGGAGCCATGTTTGTGAGATCCCAAATTATGACTAAAATATGCCTGAGAACTCACCAGCCTAGGTACATATCAACATGGATCCCCCTTTCTCGCACACACCAAATGCCTGAATAAATCTTCACTTTGTGAATAGGATATCTTTATTCAAGAACTTTGTTTTGATAAATAATAGCAATCCACCTCTCAATTGGCAAGGATTTACTGACCATCTCTTGAGTGCCTATCTTTGTGCTCAGTATTTTTAAAAAATGTAAAATATGTCTTACATGAGAAATTATTCTAGTTTCTTACCCAAGAACAACTCAGCTCCTCCATTTATTAGCTACAGGGTCTTGGACGAGTTACCCAAACCCCCTGGTCCTGGAACGCAGCAATAATAGTACCAACCTCACAGAGTGGATGTAAGGATTTTATGGTGAATATCTCTAGAGTACTTACCATATTCCTGGCACTGTTCCAAGCACAAGCTATTATCTTGGCTCTGTACTCCCAGAGTGTAAGGTGCCTGAAGGAAGACACAAAGGTGAAATAATAAGGACGAATCAAGACTGGATGTCCATCTCAAACTGCAGACTTATCTATCTCTAAAGGAGGAGGTTGAGGTTAGGTAGGGGTGAAGGACACATGGGTAAAGTGAGTCTGGAAGAACTTTCTATGTCAGAGCAATAGTGGTTTAATAAAGCCTCCTCTTTAGAGAAGCTTGGCTGTGAAGCAAAGGAGAGGGTGGTTGCTAGAGAAAGGCTTACCTTCTTCTGCTTGAAAACAACCTCCACTCCTCACTACCTCACCTCCTGTCTCTCCTCTATCCACTGCACTCCTGACCACACCTTCTACTCTGTCTCTGCAGGAACCTAAGTGTCACATGCTCTACAGAATCAAATAAGGTAGGACTGAAAAATGAGTTGAGGTTCCTCCAGTGCTCTGCACAGTGCCTGGCGCTCAGTAGGTCCCCAGTGAGTGCTATGGCACCCCACATCTGGCGCTTCCACGTTTGAACTGTTACTTTGTAATCTCACTCTTTCCTGAGTTTTATTCTGCTCTCTGTCTCCTTCCTCAGCTGCCTCCCCTGAAATGCCTAAAGATTGATGACGAATCCCATAATTTTGTCCCTAGACCAACTCTTCTACTCCTGTAGATTCGACTACGCAAAACTCTACTTTGCCAATGCTCAGCTCTACATCACCAGCCCATTGTTCTTCTGAACTAGTTACCTATGTCTCATTTGTCCACTCAGCACATAGTAGGGGACATTGGGTCTGTCCAGTAGATATCTGTGCAAAACTAAAACCAGTACTCTCTGTCCAAATGTAGGTGCTGTTCTAGTATCTACTGGTGGTTATTCACTCAGGACAGAAGTCTAGGATTCAAACCTTCCCTTCATAGCTCTTTGCCTTCCTCTCTTCAGTCACCTCAGTGTTTTATAACCCACCACTTCTTCTCTATCCCCATTACTGACTTGGGTCAGTGTCCTCTGGGTTTTAATATTCAAGTCTTTTGTCCCTATTTCTCTTCTTGGTAAACATTAAGTATATGTCACCCTCTAGGTGATTAAACCCCCTGCCTCTATCTACCATGGCAGCAAATACATGAGGACACACTGTGCAGAAGCACTAAATTAAGTAGATGTGGATTTAATTCCTCCTCTGCTGTTTAGTATTTATGTGTCCTTGAGCAATTTCCTGAAGCCTATAAGGAAGTCATTTCCAACTGGGCATTTAGTTTCCTCATTAGTAAAATAATAGGATTGCCATTAAGTCCCTGTCCTTCTGGCTTTAACTAAAAGAAGATTTTTAATACCAGAGAGATGAAATAATCTGTCCAAGTTTAGTAGGTCGAAAGGCTTGGATCCAGAAAATCAGTCTGACTAAATATTGAAGGAAATCATTCCAGGTCCTACTGCTCAGCCCTTCTCCTGTAGGTTTGGTCGCTGATCTCATATAGACTTTGTGACATACCAGAGTGGGGAAGTCCAAGGCCACAGTGGCCTGTTTTCTTCAGATGCTCCCCCCTCTGCCCCATCTCAAGGCTCAGAAAACCATTTTCAGGTAAATAACCAGAAAACCCATGTTGGGATTCTAACGTCTACCATGACTGAGTGCAGCCACCCTAGGGTATAGCAATGTTGCCCATCCCTTAGGACTCAGAGGACTTTCTTCAGGAGCATAGAAAAATGAACCACCAAGGAGAGCATGGGGGAGGAAGAGGAAAGCAACTGGCAAGTTCTTGAATGTGTGATCCTGAGGGAATTTAGGAGGAGTAAAGGGAGCAGTTGAAGGATATATAATAGGAGGGGAGAGAGGAAGTGGTGATGGAGGCATCTGAAGAGGCTTCATTCATTCTCGGGCACATGGTGTGGCCTCGGTGAGAAGCAAGCCATTTATAAGTATTCATCAAGGCCCCATTATGAATAAGACGACCAGCTCTCCTGGACTATAAAGATGAATTAGATAGAGATGTCTCAATCTGGATGTTTACCACTAGAAGTGCCTTAAGTAAGAAGGAACTTCAGAGGCTTACAAACAACCCTATACTTGGGGGACCTGAGGCTTGGTTTATGCTCTGCTATCATCATCTGGAACATATCTTTTAACAAGAGGCCAGTATAATCACCTTTCACTGGGTTCCGCAAATAATGTAACTTGTTCCAGAGAGACATGGCTTATGAGGAACAGGCATCACAGGAAGTTTCAAGTAAGCCAGGCCAAACCATAGCTAAAAGGGTAACAAAACCAGAAGGAAAAATCTGGAAAATGTCAAGTTGACTTTGTGTGCCCACCTGAAGAACATTCTGAGACCCTCCTACCCTAACCATGGAACTTTATAACCTCAATTTTGTCTTTACTTCCTTACAGCATGGAAAAACTGCCCAGTACTATTGCAGGACAGTGCTCTATAGGGGATACAAATATTTCCACATGGTGATACGGTCCTTACCAAAACTCCAGAGCACCTCTGTGGCATTACTCTCCACATTTCCTCCCAGAACAAAAATAAGGCTGCCCATCATTGAGAATTTCTTGATCAATAAAATGTGATCACTGCAACACTCAAAGAATCTGTGTCTTTTGGCGGGGGACATGGAGG